CAGTTGAAGTTCTTTCACTGAGGGGGTCCGAAGCATGCCCTCTCTGTGTGATCAGGTGGGACAGGTTGTAGTCATAGGGGAGAGGGGGTGAACCAATCGCATGGGTCCGGCCTCCCTGCAGAGGGGGGTGGTATAGGAGAAACTCAGGGTCACCAGGACGTGATCTGACCATGACAACAGGGAAAACTGTAGATCTCCCCTCAGATCACTTTGCCATTGCTCCGACAAGAAAACCAAATCCGCCATTTGGCCACTGTCCCAGGTTGGGTCCCGCACAATTTGAGACAGACCCATGGTTGCCCTGGTAGCCATGAACTCCCAAGCCACCTCCAAAGACCGCCCCAGGGACGGCAGGTTGAAGTCCCCCAGAACCATAAGCCTGGAGAACTCCACCACCAGCCCCGAGATGGCCTCCAGCAGCTCAGGCAGGGAGGCTGCCACGCAGCAGGTAGTCTGGTACAATAGCAGAACTCCCAACTGTACACGGGCACCCAACCTAATAAACAGTGTCTCACAGCCAGAACCTGGTGGAGCAATGCCCCGGAGGGCCACTAGAGATTCCCGGATCACAACAGCCACCCCTCCTCCCCGGCTCTCGGCTGGTGCCACACCGAGAACCCAGCTGGGCACATTTCCGAGAGGGGCACTCCCCCCTCGGGCCCAGCCAGGTCTCAGTAGTGCATGCCAGGTCTGCCCCCTCCTCAGTGATCAAGTCACATATGAGCGGGGCCTTGTTGTTAACCGACCTGGCATTAAGCAGCAGCAGCTGAAGGCCAAATGTGTCAGATGTTAACATCCAGGAATACCATCATGACAGAAATCAGGAAAATTGAAATGCATATTCCATCTCCAAGTAATTTTTGTAATTACACAGCAAAAAGTGCCATGAACTTTAAATTTCTACATCTATCACCACATATAACCCGATTATTCATAAAAAACCTGAGTTTTCCTTTATTAGCAACTACCCTGAACTTTAGTGCCTGCTAAATATATGAAATTCTGCAATATAATATAGCTTCAATAAACAATGTAAGAATGCATTTTCATAACTAAAGTTATTTTAGGTCCACATTTCAAGTTCCTAGTCAACATTTGTTCAGTTTATTGCTATAAACAGTCCCAGGAATTTCAGTTCAGAGTAGTAAAAATTTATCACACTAAGTTAAACAAAACTGCTTAAGAACACATACTACACCATAGGTTTTTTTTTTTTTTTGTATTTTTATAAAATCTGCAAATATACCACAAAGAATGCATACTAAAAGCTAATATGCACACATTTGATTTAAAGAAATGAATGTAAATATATTTCTTTTATATACAGTTTAAATCCAAATTTACATCTGCATCATTTTCATGGAGGAGGTGGCATAGATTGAACAGAGATTTGAGTTGTAGAACTTAAGCAAACTGAAAAAGATGCTATATAAAACTGGTATCATCAATTCCTAGTGTCTTCAAAAAATACAGCAGTTCTTAAAGGCTAGTCTGCATTTAGAAATGACTGGGAAATCCACTTATCTTGATATCAAATATGCACATATATTCATAATTGTTAAATTCAGATTCTCAAGGCAATATATCAGAAATATGTAATGGACTTCATACAGTTTCCAGCATAGAAATCCATTCAATCTACATGTTGGATCACTTAGGGTATTTCCCAGCAATAAGGCATCAACAGTATTAGGCTTTATTTGTGAAAGTAACCTGAAGACTGCTAAGTATCTGTTTTGTTGTATATAATAAAAATGCACCTATTCCTACCACTTCTTCCACTTTATGGAAGAAGGATTTCCATTCCCTTATTCTAAGTATTTAAATCACAATAACTACAATTAGTTATTTCAGGGATGCTTCTTGTTAATTTTCACCTCCTGATGTAAATAACGTCTATTCAATGAATCATTTACATTTAAAGAAAGTGACACTTTGGCCAATTACAGTACAGTTGGTCTTAGTAGAGCAAGGAATTTTAACTATATTTAAAGCCATCTTGACATTAATTTTTTTAGACTAAGTACATTCTAAATCCCTTTTAAATTAAAACTGTCAAATATTAAAATACAATTAAATGGCTTAAATAATCTCTCCTAGAAATGCAAGTCACTTACACAATAGAGAAATTGAACAGAAAAATACAAATATTTCTTCAAACTGGAGGATGATTAGAGACCTATTTGCCTTTTTATCCTTTTTCTTAAACTTACATATAAAATTTACTAAGTTTATGACAATACAGTCATAACCCATCCTCTTTGCAAACTACTTTGCTTAAGTACAAATAAGAACCGGCATTAAAAAAAATCCTTAAAACCAAACAGACTGTTGCCCAACTTAAAAACTCCATACTCAACTCAAAAGCCTGAAATAAAAGAAACAGAAAGCAAAACAAATTTCAGAACTAGGCATTGGATGGGTATGTGCTACATTGAAAAAGAAAAAAAAATGCATTTATCAATTTAAATGCATGTATTATGTACGTCTCTCAATTAAAAATGTCTTCTTTTTTTGGCTTTTATAAGTAGAAATAATGATGGAAAACCTGATGATAAAACATTCCTAAATTACACAAGTACATAGCTTCTTCAAAAAATATGAGCTATTTGTAAGGTATTCCAAAGTATATACTGTTGGAATGCTCCCCCTATAAACAGTAACTTGGGGATAGCAACACTGAGACTAAAAGGTATTTCCCTAGGATCTCTCTCATGATCCCTGAACCCAATATAATTGATCAAGGGGAATTAATTGGAACTTAATCTTGTCAGAAAGCAGATGCGATTCTTTGTTTTCCTATACATTTGTTTTTAATCAAGCTTTAAAATAGCTCTCCCTGAAGATCCTTGAGCTAAAATACTGGCATTAGGAGTTGATCTCAAGGTTCAAGCTTACTGAAAGTCTACTGCTCAGGTATATCGCGTCTTGATTTTGTGGCAGTACTGTTCTGGTGTATGCTGTTATTCAACTCCTGTACAGTATTTGTAGTGGGAAAATTTATTGGGACCCACGCCTGAGACACAGCTGTGGAATTACCAGCAAGGATCTTGGAAGAAGCGTTGGACTGATGTCTGCGATGATCACTTTCCTCACCAGGTAAATGCCTTTTTCTCCCAGATTCTTCACTAATGGGAGGCTAAAACAGAAAATGGGCATCTTATTATAATCTACCAGAATGTTCTGTAAAAACTCATTATGGTATTATTTTTTAAGTTGTCAATATTTTGAATATTTTATATTTATCAGAAACAACTGAAGGGTTAGTCTAGTGTCACTATGAGAAAATATCAAGAATTTATTCTTTGTACATGCTAAGCCATTCTTTGTTCTTGTAGTCTCTGATATTTAAGGCATACACATTTGTTCTGGATGGATTATAGGTATGCTTAATAGTGATTCACTGGTATTGGTCCTTCTCCTTTTAAAAAAAAATCACTCTTACATTTTATTTACATTAATTTGTTTGAGAGACTGTGAACACTTACATCAACTCTGAAGTCTTCCAATCTTTTAAAATTCAACAAGTATTCCTGAAGTTTGGGATCAATAGGTGGAGTTTTAGACTGCGAATACTTCAGATAAGCCCAAAATTTTTCTAGCCCGTAAAGTTGGCCTAAAATAGAACAGGTTAAGCATATAAAAATATAAAGCATGAAGTTAAACAATATTATGAGAGAAGTATAAAAATGCATTACCAGATTCATAATCTCTTTTTGTTTCTTCTTGGAAATCTTTGAAGATCTCTTGCCTGAATTTCTTTTCCAGCCCATAACTATAAAAACGGAACAAGCATTCCAGGCCGTACCTATAAAACAAGGGACAAATAAACAAACAAATTTGACTCCTAGTGACTTCATGATCATGCCCATGTAGTTATTCTTTGTTACAATGCAGACAAGTGCAGAAAAACATATACAGTAGTTATTTTTATCTGTGCTGTTTATACAATGTTAAAGTATGATATTTCCTGGCAATTTTTTAGCCTCACAACTTTCATAATATGGTAAATTTTGCTTCTGTAATCCCCATGACACTTTCCCTCACGGAGAAGTGAAAGAATAAGAAGATTCAGTATAGCAACTTGCCTCTCAGAAAGGCACCTCTTTGTATCCCAACTGAAAAGTATACTAATCAGAGACTAGACATTGATTAAATAGATACCTTTAAAATGGCTTTATATATAACAAAACAAAAACCAAAAACAATCCTATGTGTTTCATGACAGTTGTAACTCATACAGAAAACCTATTCTGACCTGGTCATTAAGGCTGGTGTCAGAAGTAAAGCACAGTGAAACAGAATAAGAATTTTGAATAGTTTGTTATCAAATTAATTTATGCAAATGAAAAGTGTCAACAAAGTAACATTTAGCTTCAGAACAGGAAACTTCTAAAACAATTCTATGCAACTGCATAAAGAGACAAATTAGTAGGGCTCCATTTCTGTAGAGTGGTTTTAAGTAATTTCCAACTATCACAAATCAAATTAGGTATGAGAGCAAAAGAAGACTAGAGAAAGAAAGCTTGACTTTGGGGAAGAAATCAATTTTTTATAGTAATTTTATTAA